CCAGGGCAGGAAGTGAGGGTTGTAAGAGGACACCCAGTACATTGCATTCTCACACCCATTTAACAGTGCAGTCCACTCCTGATAAGTGCACTTTGAATATGTGCAAACTCCTGTGCGATACAGTTTTCAAGTCCCATTTAAATGACACATTCTTTAATATCTGCTGATAACTACATGATCTGGTTTAGTGCATGCTGTCACTCTAGTCGTAAATTGTTGCATTTATCAGGAGTCTTACTCTAATTTTCACAGCAGTAAGTGAAATATTTCTTCACATCCATCTGCATCTCTCTTCTATTAAACTGCTCAAAATGTAGAAAGTGATTTGCTAAATGCCACGTTTGTACTGCGTACTGCACAGTTAAAAGAGCATGCTGTAGGACCCAGGAGTCCTCGTCAGATAATGGCTGAAATTGAAGTTGATCGGGAACGCCATCTTCTTTTTCCATTCTCGCTCTACACAGAGTACACAGCTGCTAACAAAGGAACATTGTAAACCATCATGGCACGGTGAATGTCTTTAAGAGACTCCAATGGCAGCCTTCCCTATATGTAGGTTAAATTCGAGGGAAATCTTTGGATACCAATTCCAGACTGATACTGTGTGTAATGGGGAAATTTAAGGTGATTAAAGTTCCTATTCAATTTATTGTGATTAACACAATGCTTAGCTTAGCATATTTATATATTTTCCCTGTTGCAAATTGTAACAAAACAGACAGATTTTTGATTGATATTATCAACGACTGCTCTCTGTTTCGTTTACCTGGAAATTCCTGTTACACCGTGCAACATGCAATATGTTGTATCCAACATGCATGGATTTTCAGTATAACACAGTTCATCCTAAAAAACGTTGGTGTTCAAACGAGAAACTCAGAGGCTGTCATACATAAGCCTACTGTAGGTCATTGACTCATTATATTACCTTTGCATCAAAGCTCTGTCTGGACTGTTTTAGGAAGAAATAATGGGCTTTTGAAAAAATCACCCCACTTTCCTCCAAAACGTCAGTATTTAATCAATACAATCACATCACCCCAGCTAAACTCTCAGCTTAGCGTCACAATTTCTCAAACTCTGGAAAGATACAGTACATGCTGAGGCCCCACTGTAAAATACACAAACTGCTGATCCTATACTGTTTTCACCACCACAGAGGACCATTACTTCCTTTAGATCAAGAGTCCTCTCCACAGAACATGCAGAAGCTCTAAATCATTACCCTCTTTATGAAAGCATAGCCCTTAGCTTTGGAGGAAGCTAAATATAACATGTATTCATGGTTTGATCAATGAGCACTGTGGATGGGCTCCCCAGTGTAAACAACACAATAAGCCATATGACTCTGCAGATGGTTCTGTATTCATCAGCTCAGAAGTGAGGGGCCGTGGGAATATAATGGACGGCTGGATTTACAGTAGGTGTAAAAAGCAGCTCCAGAAATGGCACCCACATAGTCAATATTGGGCTTTTTAGGATGTATCTTTTTGGTAAATCAAATTCATCCATTTACTTGTGAAATACTGAGGAGGAAGTTATGGATTCTGCGTTTCATACACTGGTAAGAAATAATCATGCACATGGCCTAAAGGTGAACTATTTAAAGCGGCAATTAGCAGTGAAAACAATAACAAAGCTTACTCCCCAAACTCTGTTTGGTAAGAAGCTGAGGGATGGGGCTGGAGAAATGTAACCTGTCTCAAAATCATAAACAGAGCTATGGATGCAAGTACTGACCATCCATGATTTCAAAATGTTAGTTTTAACCATGTTTCGAGGCTTCTTACCAAAATGTAAACAAACAGGCAGTAGAGCCTGCTCGTTTAGATTTACTTTGTTTACAAACATTGGAGTAAAACAAGCTTATATTTGGGGTTCTGATGGGGTAGGACAGTTGAACTAAGCTCATTAAGTGTTTCTATGTTAATAAGCAACTGCTGAACGCTCATTTAAGTCAACATCAAGCCATTGATGTTAGCAGGACATGTTCATGCATGCCTTAACCCTCTCGCTGTTTGATATGTAGTTCTTGTTGCAATAACATTAATTCACAAAAGCAAATTACCATGACACACCTGTGATATCTACCAAACATAGCCGCAGGAAGTAGGGGTGCTGAGGGTACTGCAGCACACCCTGAAAAATTGGAATAAGAAATATATATTTATAAAAAATATATATACTTTATGGCCCCCCCAAAAAAATGCACAAAAGCAGTGCGTGCACTGGGCTTTTTCTAGTTCTAAAAACATTTTTTTCAGCATCTTCACAAAAAGTAGTTGTATAATTAAGAACAGTATCTTGCGGGATTCAATAGCTGGAATTGTAAGAGTTGTTGCCCCTGTCCCTTTCTTTGTGATTGTCATTCTAATGGAATCCAGAAAGGTGCAAAATTATGGGCAAAGACACAAAACATCCACATCAAATTAAATATTTTTCGTGATCAAATAACTTGGAAAAATCCCACTTTTTGTGCAGTGTTAATTTACCATCCTTACAAACCACAATGTAAATGTGCATTACTGTATTGTACATTCCATCCCCCTAAAGAAAAACACAATACAGTAATTGAGTACATTGACACATCAAGTGGTTTCTGATGCTGTGATGTGATGGGGTGGCTCAGTTGGTAGTGCGTGGCACTTGCAATGCTATGGTTGTGGATTCGATTTCCACGGGGGACCAGTATGAAAATGTAAGCACTCACTACGGTAAGTTGCTCTGGATAAGAGTGTCTATGGAAAAGGAATAAATAGATCATTTCAGTTTTTACATGGAAATAAGTTGCATTTGCAAAGTATTTCAAGAAACTGGAAAACATATACTGTATCAAGCAAGAATTTTTTTATATTGCACAAGTATTAACTGTTTTGTAATTATCAAACTCAAGTTACAAATGCTGGTAAAGACTCAAATACATTTAGTTGAAATTTTTTCACAAAAGTAGTGCACTGGGCCTTTACTAGTCCTGTGTTAGCGGACCGATATACAGTTGAAGTCGGAAGTTTACATAAACCTTAGCCCAAAAAAATTTTACTCAGTTTTTCACAATTCCTGACATTTAATCCTGGTAAAAATTCCCTGTCTTAGGTCATTTAGGATCATCAATTTATTTTAAGAATGTGAATAATAGTAGAGAGAATGATTTATTTCAGCGTTTATTTATTTCATCACGTTCCCAGTGGGTCAGAAGTTTACATACACTCAATTAGTATTTGGTAGCATTGCCTTTAAATTGTTTAACTTGTGTCAAATGTTTCGGTTAGCCTTCCACAAGCTACCCACAATAAGTTGGGTGAATTTTGACCCATTCCACCTGACAGAGCTGGTGTAACTGAGTCAGGTTTGTAGGCCTCCTTGCTCGCACACGCTTTTTCAGTTCTGCCCACACATTTTCTATAGGATTGAGGTCAGGGCTTTGTGATGGCCACTCCAATACCTGGACTTTGTTGTCCTTAAGCCATTTTGCCACAACTTTGGAAGTATGCTTGGGGTCATTCTCCATCTGGAAGACCCATTTGCGACCAAGCTTTAACTTCCTGACTGATGTCTTGAGATGTTGCTTCAATATATCCACATAATTTTCCTTCCTCATGATGCCATCTATTTAGTGAAGTGCACCAGTCCCTCCTGCAGCAAAGCACCCCCACAGCATGATGCTGCCACCCCCGTGCTTCACGGTTGGGATGGTGTTCTCCAGTTAGCAAACATCCCCCTTTTTCCTGGTCATTATGGCCAAACAGTTCTATTTTTGTTTCATCAGACCAGAGGACATTTCTCCAAAAAGTACGATCTTTGTCCCCATGTGCAGTTGCAAACCGTTGTCTGGCTTTTTTATGGCGGTTTTGGAGCAGTGGCTTCTTCCTTGCTGAGCAGCCTTTCAGGTTATGTCGATATAGGACTCGTTTTACTGTAGATACTTTTGTACCTGTTTCCTCCAGCATCTTCACAAGGTCCTTTGCTGTTGTTCTGGGATTTATTTGCACTTTTCGCACCAAAGTACGTTCATCTCTAGGAGACAGAACGCGTCTCCTTCCTGAGCAGTATGACGGCTGCGTGGTCCCATAGTGTTTATACTTGCGTACTATTGTTTGTACAGATGAACGTGGTACCTTCAGGCATATGGAAATTGCTCCCAAGGATGAACCAGACTTGTGGAGGTCTACAATTTGTTTTCTGAGGTTTGGCTGATTTATTTTTCCATGATGTCAAGCAAAGAGGCACTGAGTTTGAAGGTAGGCCTTGAAATACATCCACAGGTACACCTCCAATTGACTCAAATGATGTCAATTAGCCTATCAGAAGCTTCTAAAGCAATGACATCATTTTCTGGAATTTTCCAAGCTGTTTAAAGGCACAGTCAACTTAGTGAATGTAAACTTCTGACCCACTGGAATTGTGATACAGTGAATTATAAGTGAAATAATCTGTCTGTAAACAATTGTTGGAAAAATTACTTGTGTCATGGACAAATTAGATGTCCTAACCGACTTGCCAAAACTATAGTTTGTTAAAAATAAATTTGTGGAGTGGTTGAAAAACTAGTTTTAATGACTCCAAACTAAGTGTATGTAAACTTCCGACTTCAACTGTAGATGTCTTCAGCACGAAAAAATTACTTTCTGCATTTTTTGCAACGTGTTATACTTTTCTATTATTTCTCTATTTTCTTTCTCTCTGCATTATTGGAAAGGGCCCGTAAGTAAGCATTTAACTGTTAGTCTACACTTGTTGTTTACGAAGCATGTTGATTGATCTGACCTTAACAGTAAAGAAAAAGTATTCCTTGAACATACATATTTACCTTTTGTGATTAATGTTTCTTTTCACATTGTGAGACATAGTTAACATAGTTTCATTCATAAAAAACATATAGTTTACTGATTTCTAGCTTTGTTTTAATGATGACACGTTTCTGAAAACGTTATTCATCTTTCTCCAACAGGTGCCCATTGCTGTGTAGGGTCCTGTGTGGAGGAGCTTGGGGAACAGCAGCCATGCCGCCTGCCATGGGAGGACCCCAGGGGTACACCCCTCCAGAGGGGGGCTGGGGCTGGGCGGTGGTGGTGGGAGCCTTCATCTCTATTGGCTTCTCCTACGCCTTCCCCAAGTCCATCACCGTCTTCTTCAAGGAGATCGAGGTCATCTTCGACTGCTCCAGCAGCCAGGTGTCTTGGATCTCCTCCATCATGCTGGCGGTCATGTACGCTGGAGGTGAGCTGGAAGTTCGAATAGTGCACCACTCCCGGAAATGTACATGTTAAAAACGTTTTACTTTCACACAAATTCAATTCTAAGTGTACTCCAACCATCTTTGCTTTCACAAACACCTGAAAAGCAAGAATGGAGTGCATTTTTTGTTCCTAAATACATTACAAATGTATTGGAAACAGGTTATCAAGTAATTTGACAATCGATGGAACATGTTAGAATTGCAAACGGAATGTGTTAATTTTCCGGTAGGGAGAGTTAGAGTGATGACATAGTGTGTAGCAGAAGTGAGCTGAAAGATGCACAGCCAGAGTGAGTTGTGGAGCATTGTGTAACAGACTTGGGTTCAAAAAGTATTTGCATTCTTTCCAATACTTTGAGCTTTTGATTGAGCCTTGGCAGGGTTAGGACCAAGGGACCGTTTAATTGGATCCATTGCGCCAGGCAAGCGCAATCAAGCACAGCTAAAATATTTTATAGAAAACAAATACTACTTAAACCCAGACCTGGTGTTGGCAGTGTGTAACCGCTGCCTAAGAGCACATTAGTTACATTGTCATTGTTATCAGTAATAACAGCTGCTAAACACCACAATAGTGTCCTCCTAAAGCTTGGTAATCCCATTTAGTGAATGGTGATGATAATTTTTAAGTGCCACTGACACCTTCTAGCTACTGTAGACCATTAAGCATGTGTCCCGCCATATTCTCCTAAAGCTCTCAAGATGCTGTGTGAGACTTCGGAAACTTCAACTTGGCTTTCTTTTAGATATTTGATTTGATGCAACAACAAAAAATGTATATAATGATAGACACAACCACAAATTAGAAAATGTCACCCTTTACACTCTAACTGCACCTTTTAACATGAATGGATCTGAAAGCCTCTGTTAGGCCTCCGTATTCACAGTATACCTTTCAGTGAGAATGCGATGGAAAAATACACTCTATCTTTTGCTCAGTGGACCATTCATGCACCTTCTTTTCTTCAGTCACACACGGCTCCCATAGTTTCCCAACCATTGACTATGTGGAGTGAGGTCACTGGGCACCAGATCAAGATGAAGTGTATTGTCCAAAACGAGACGGCGAGGCCTGAATCAAACCATTGTCTTTGAAATTGAATGAATGGGGTCTCTGGAATGTTTTTACTCTTCAGAAGCATCGTTCTTAACAGTCTCTCTCTCTCTCTCTCTCTCTCTCTCTCTCTCTCTCTCTCTCTCTCTCTCTCTCTCTCTCTCTCTCTCTCTCTCTCTCTCTCTCTCTCTCTCTCTCTCTCTCTCTCTCTCTCTCTCTCTCTCTCTCTCTCTCTCTCTCTCTCTCTCTCTCTCTCTCTCTCTCTCTCTCTCTCTCTCTCTCAATTCGATTCAATTTCAATTTAAGGGCTATATTGGCATGGGAAACGTATGTTAACATTGCCAAATCAAGTGAAGTAGATAGTAAACAAAAGTGAAATAAACAATAAATATTAACAGTAAACATTACACTCAGAAGTTCCAAAATAATATATACATTTCAAATGTCATATTATGTATATAGATACACTACCGGTCAAACGTTTTAGAACACCTACTCATTCAAGTATTTATATATTATATATTTTAATATTTTCTACATTGTATAATAATAGTGAAGACATCAAAACTATGAATAACACATATGGAATCATGTAGTAACCAAAATTGTTAGACAAATCAAAATATATTTTATATTTGAGATTCTTCAAATAGCCACCCTTTGCCTTGATGACAGCTTTGCACACTCTTGCCATTCTCTCAACCAGCTTAACCTGGAATGCTTTTCCAACAGTCTTGAAGGAGTTCCCACATATGCTGAGCACTTGTTGGCTGCTTTTCCTTCACTCTGCCGTCCGACTCATACCAAACCATCTCAATTTGGTTGAGATCGGGGGATTGTGGAGGCCAGGTCATCTGATGCAGCACTCCATCACGCTCCTTCTTGGTAAAAGAGCCCTTACACAGCCTGGAGGTGTGGTGGGTCATTGTCCTGTTGAAAAACAAATGATAGTCCCACTAAGCCCAAACCAGATGGGATGGCATATCGCTGCAGAATGCTGTGGTAGCCATGCTGGTTAAGTGTGCCTTGAATTCTAAATAAATCACAGACAGTGTCACCAGCAATGCTCCCCCACACCATAACACCTCCTCCTCCATGCTTTACAGTGGGAACCACACATGCGGAGATCATCCGTTCACCCACACCGCGTCTCAGATAGACATGCCGGTTACAACCAAAGATCTCCAATTTGTCCATTGCTCGTGTTTCTTGGCCCAAGCAAGTGTCTTCTTATTATTGGTGTCCTTTAGTAGTGGTTTCTTTGCAGCAATTCGACCATGAAGGTCTGATTCACACAGTCTCCTCTGAACAGTTGATTTTGAGATGTGTCTGTTACTTGAACTCTGTGAAGCGTTTATTTGGGCTGCAATTTCTGAGGCTGGTAACTCTAATGAACTTTTCCTCTGCAGCAGAGGTAACTCTGGGTCTTCCATTCCTGTGGCGGTCCACATGAGAGCCAGTTTCATCACAGCGCTTGATGGTTTTTGCGACTGCACTTGAAGAAATGTTTTTTTTTAAGTTCTTGAAATGTTCCGTATTGACCAACCTTCATGTCTTAAAGTAATGATGGACTGTCATTTCTCTTTGCTTATTTGAGCTGTTCTTGACATAATATGGACTTGGTATTTTACCAAACAGGGCTATCTTCTGTATACCCTCCCTACCTTGTCACAACACAACTGATTGGCTCAAACGCATTAAGAAGGAAAGAAATTCCATAAATTAACTTTTAACCCTTGTGCTTTGCTGGAAAAAAATGACATCCATTATGTTACGGGTCAAATTGACCCGCACAGTTTAAACACACTCAAGACAGTCAAAGAATTAAGTAAAAACAGAAACAACTTTATTTTGTCTTATCAGACATTTCAGAAAGAAGAAATACAATACTTTTTATTTTTTTTAAACAATATTTAAGAACTATTTGTTAAACATATTTCCTTTCTCACAAACAAGATTTTTCAGTTTCCCCAAGTAGGTTTTTTCCCCCCCTATTGGTCCATATTATCCCTTCAGTCTTTCTCTCTACATGTTGAACACAATGTGTGTGTGTGCTTTCTGCAGATGTATTTATTGCATTCTACACAAGTGGTGCTTGTTTTACTGTCTTGTCGAGGGGGGCAGAGCTGGCATCTTTTCCGTTTCTTGCCACTGCCTGTATCCACTGGATCCATTTCTGGTTGATTGGAGGCATGTGTTGATGGTCCAGCTTGAATTTTCTGGACGGCAGATGCAGCTGCTGTCGACCGAGGAGGCCGGACTCTCCTCTGGATCTTGGGAGTGATGAGAGCTTTGCCGAGCTCCTCTAGGAAAAGCCGGCGTCGGTACAATTTGCCACCATTCCATTGCTGGTTGATTTCAGTCCACAGGACATAGGCATTGTAAGCAGACACATCCACAATGTTGTAGAAAATCACCAAAGGCCAGCGGGCAGTCATGCGCTGACAACTATATGTTGCTGTGACTTTATCCAAATTGTCAACTCCTCCTTTGGTGGAATTGTAGTCCAGTATTATTTGTGGCTTGATGTCCTCTCTTGCACTCAGCGATGCATCTTTGTGCATTGTGCTCATTACAAGAACATTCTTGTTCTTCTTTGGGCAGTATGAAACAACAGTTGCATTTTCAGAGAAAGCAAATTTAGAGGAATGCACAGTTCTGCCCTGCATTTTCAGAAGCTCACTGGGAAGTTCAGGTTTGTTTTTTCTGATTGTTCCAACCATGGTCAGTTTTCTCTTCTGTAGTTCAACACCAAGGCGGTAGGATGTGAAGAAGTTGTCACACGTGATGTTATGACCTTGCAGCCCTTCACTCATGTCCAGCACCACCCGCATCCCCTGGTTTTTCTCAGGCACTCCGCCGGGTGGCTTCCCAGTGTAAACTTGCATATTCCATGCATAGCTTGATGTGGCATCACATGCTGCCCATATTTTGATGCCATATTTTGCAGGCTTGTTTGGCATATACTGTCTGAAGGGACAACGTCCTCTGAATGGAACAAGGCGTTCATCAACTGTAACATGAGGACTGGGATTGTACAGTAACGGTAGAATTTCCACCCATTTATCCCATACATCTCTGATTGCAGCTAGTTTGTCTCTTTCACGTCGACCCGGTCTGGTATCACGGTTATCAAAGCGAATCACCCGAGAAATTATGTGGAATTCTTGTAGAGACATTGTTGCCCGAAATATTGGCCTTCCATTCTCTTCATTCCACAGGCTGGCCGTTGCTTCTCCGTTTGACCGGTAGACTCCAGCTAATATGAGCAATCCAATGTATGCATGCAAGTCAATCCGATCCAGTGGCTTCCAGTTCTCTTGAAACACACGGCTCCCCTCCAAGTTGGTCATGTCCAGAACAATCTTCTCTATTGCTTGGGGTAAAAAGAGCTCAAAAGCTGATTGTATGTCATGGACTCGAGTGACAGCAAATCGTGTAGGTCCTGGAACCATTTTTATTACATTGGAAGCTGAGAGTCTACCTTGACCTCGTTGTGGTGACGGTGACCATTCAATATGACCATCTTTAGACTTCCATGTCTTCTCTTCTCTTGATGATGCTTGTTGCATGCTCTGTCTCTCATCTGATGTAGGGGATGGTACGGCAGACTCCTCCTCTGAATCCTCTTCAATGAAGACAAAATCTGGATCATCAACAGCATTGTCCTCTATCTCTGAAATATCCTCTGTCTCTGAAACCTCTTCTTCTTTTTCACTGTCACAGTCCAGAATTTGTGATAAGACTTCATTGATTGAAAATCTTTTGGAGCTCATTTTTGAGTGTCTGTGTCAGGGACCTGCTGCTCTCACACTGAGGAGAAGCTTGGGAAAGCCCTTTTTAACCCAAACACAATTCTAAAAGTGCAACCAGGACCAGTCAAAACAAAATACATCAAAGACACTTTTTTGTTTTGCACCTGTGCAAATATATATACACATGAAAGCCTCCGGGTCAAAATGACCCACAACATCATGTTTGTATACAAAATGTACACAGACATTTAAGATGGCACACCTGTTAATTGAAATGCATTCCAGGTGACTACCCCATGAAACTGGTTGAGAGAATGCCAAGAGTGTGCAAAGCTATCACCAAGTCAAATGGTGGCTATTTGAAGAATCTCAAATATAAAATATATTTTGATTTGTTTAACACTTTTTTGGTTACTACATGATTCCATATGTGTTATTTCATAGTTTTGATGTCTTCACTATTATTCAACAATGTAGAAAATAGTCAAAATAAAGAAAAACCCTTGAATGAGTAAGTGTTCTAAAACTTTTGACCGGTAGTGTACGGTGTTGTCACAATGATATGGGAGTTTATCCAAATTGGGTTTCTTTTTCGAGTTCTTTGTGGATCTCTGTAATCTGAGGGAAATATGTGTCTCTAATATGGTCATACATTTGGCAGGAGGTTAGGAAGTGCAGCTCAGTTTCCACCTCATTTTGTGGGCAGTGTGAACATAGCCTGTCTTCTCTTGAGAGCTAGGTCTGCCTACGGCGGCCTTTCTCTATAGCAAGGCTATGCTCACTGAGTCTGTACATAGTAAGGCTTTCCTTAAGTTTGGGTCAGTCACAGTGGGCAGGTATTATGCCACTGTGTACTCTCTATTTAGAGCCAAATAGCATTCTAGTTTTCTCTGTTTTTATGTTAATTCTTTCCAATGTGTCAAGTAATTCTCTTTTTGTTTTCTCATGATTTGCTTGGGTCTAATTGTGTTGTTGTTGTTGTCCTGGGGCTCTTTGGTGTATGTTTGTGTTTGTGAACAGAGCCCCAGGACCAGCTTACTTAGGGGACTCTTCTCCAAGTTCATCTCTTTGTAGGTGATGGCTATGTTATGGAAGGTTTGGGAATCGCTTCCTTTTAAGTGGTTATAGAATTTGATGGCGCATTTCTGGATTTTGATAATTAGCGGGTATCGGCCTAATTCTGCTCTGCATGCATTATTTGGTGTTTTTTGTTGTACACAAAGGATATTTTTGCAGAATTCTGTCTCAATTTGGTGTTTGTCCCATTTTGTGAATTATTGGTTGGTGAGCGGACCCCAGACTTCACAACCATAAAGGGAAATGGGTTCTATAACTGATTCAAGTATTTTTAGCCAGATCCTAATTGGTATGTCAAATTTGATGTTCCTTTTGATGGCATAGCTTTGTGGAAGTTAGCTGTGGCGCTGATGTTTAGGCCCAGGTATGTATAGTTTTTTGTGTGCTCTAGGGCAACGGTGTCTAGATGGAATTTGTATTTGTGGTCCTTGCAACTGGAGCTTTTTTGGAACACCATTAGTTTTGTCTTACTAAGATTTACTGTCAGGGCCCAGGTCTGACAGAATCTGTAAAGACGATCTAGGTGCTGCTGTAGGCCCTCCTTGGTTGGTGACAGAAGCACCAGATCATCAGCAAACACTAGACATTTGACTTCAGATTCTAGTAGGGTGAGGCTGGGTGCTGCAGACTGTTCTAGTGCCTTGTTGTTTGTGTACATGGATTTTATAATGTCGTATGTTTTTCCCCCAACCCCACTTTCCATCAATTTGTATAGCAGACCCTCATGCTAAATTGAGTCAAAAGCTTTTTTGAAATCAACAAAGCATGAGAAGACTTTGCCTTTGTTTTGGTTTGTTTGTTTGTCAATTAGGGTGTGCAGGGTGAATATGTGGTCTGTCGTACGGTCATTTGGTAAAAAGCCAATTTGACATTTTCTCAGTACATTGTTTTCACTGAGGAAATGAGCTAGTCTGCTGTTAATGATAATGCAGAGGATTTTCCCAAGGTTGCTGTTGACGCATATCCCAAGGTAGTTATTGGGGTCAAATTTGTCTCCACTTTTGTTGATTGGGGTGATCAGTCCTTGGTTCCAAATATTGGGGATGATGCCAGAGCTAAGGATGATGTTAAAGAGTTTAAGTATAGCCAATTGGAATTTGAGGTCTGTATATATTATCATTTCATTGAGTATACCATCAACACCACAGGCCTTTTTGGGTTGGAGGGTTTGTATTTTGTCCTGTAGTTCATTCAATGTAATTGGAGAATCCAGTGGGTTCTGGTAGTCTTTAATAGTTGATTCTAAGATTTGCATTTAATAATAATAATAATATGCCATTTAGCAGACGATTTTATCCAAAGCGACTTACAGTCATGCGTGCATACATTTTTGTGTATGGGTGGTCCCAGGGATCGAACCCACTACCTTGGCGTTAGAAGCGCCGTGCTCTACCAGCTGAGCTACAGAGGACCATTTGATCATGTATATATTTTTTGCTGTTTGTTCTTTGTTATAGGGCCAAAAATATTGGAGAAGTGGTTTACCCATACATCTCCTTTTTTGGATAGATAGCTCTTCGTGTTGTTGTTTGTTTTCCAATTTTCCCAGAAGTGGTTAGAGTCTATGGATTCTTCAATTACATTGAGCTGATTTCTGACATGCTGTTCCTTCTTTTTCCATAGTGTATTTCTGTATTGTTTTAGTGATTCACCGTAGTGAAGGCGTAGGCTCAGGTTTTCTGGGTCTCTATGTTTTTGGTTGGATAGATTTCTCAATTTCTTTCTTAGGTTTTTGCATTCTTCATCAAACCATTTGTCACTGTTGTTACTTTTCTTCGGTTTTCTGTTTCTCCCTCTCTCTCTCTCTCTCTCTCTCTCTCTCTCTCTCTCTCTCTCTCTCTCTCTCTCTCTCTCTCTCTCTCTCTCTCTTGCTCTCTCATCTCTGTCTCCTGAGTCCATGGATGAGGTTCCTCGCTTTCCAGTGTGCGTGTTAATGCTCTGATCACATGAATGTTGTCCCAGGTGACATCTGAGGCTGAGGAGATGAAATGGCCTACATGAAAGTCAGGCAGACCACTGTGTGTGTGTCGGTTGGTCTGGGTTCCTGTACCGGCGGGGACTGGGGTGAATCAAATGCTGGGTGATGTTAAACAGGTCTGCCCAGTGAACCGGTGATATGACTCTTTTCATCAACACGCACAGACAGAACAGTAATCAGAGGGACTCTCCTTCTCATGCTCCTTGTCCCTCAAGATGAGGTCTGGTGCTAGATAAGAAAGCATTGTCAGCATTGTCTGTTTTCTCTCCAGGAGGGGAGATGAACGGAACAAACTGGCACGGTGTTGTCTCAGAAAAGTTACTAAACATAGTTATTAGCTGCACAAATCGCCAGCGTTTTCAGCCGGCTTAGTAGTAGTGCCTGTTTACAATAACATGTGGAAGAAAAAGAACTGTCTGAGTAATTACCAAAACACTGAACTCCTGAGAGGATTAGTGCCGATATGTTTCACGTGTAGTTGCACAAACCCTATACACAGTATAGTAGGTCAAGCTTCAGTAATAGCAGCACTTAATGAATTCTTGAATGATTTCTGAACCATATTCCTAATTTAGTATACAAGGGACCATCATTAACCTATTGATGTACAAAGCTGCTGTGGCTGCCCCACACCAGATCAGTGAATCACTGGTATTTATTGTCAGCAGCACATTCCATCAAAATGTAGCACCTAGCTCAGGTGCACATTCAGGAGCTGCATTGGTGAAAGCCAGGTCACTGGGTTATGCAGTACGATTGTCTCAGACTGTTCCCAATAGATTCCAGTTCTCCCTCTCTGAGTTCTGTGTAGGTTACCTGTTAGCTGGGCTCTGGACACATCACTGCCTGTGCATGATGGTCTGCTCTAACCCTAGGCTCCGCCAACCACCCCCTGTGCCCCCCCCAAAATGTTATTGGGGCTGCTTCTCGGGCTTCCTCCTCGACCGGCCTCCTCCATGTTGCCGTTGCTCCTCTCCTGCCTGGGCATCTAACTTAGCCCATGGTCCTTTCCCCGCGAATATCTCCTCCCATGACCACAATTTGGCCACCTGTGACATGGCTACTCGCTCCGCCTGGGCACGCTGCTTGGTCCTCGTTTGGTGGGATCTTCTGTCACGTTCGTTCAATGACGGGTCAGACCAAGGCGCAGCGTGATATACGTCCATGTTTATTAAGTTATAAACACCACGACAAAACAACAAACGAAACGTGAAGTCCAAGGTAGAAACAACAAACCTTAACCGGAACAAGATCCCACAACTCAATAGTGCCAATAGGCTGCCTAAGTATGGTCCCCAATCAGAGATAACGAGCGACAGCTGCCTCTGATTGGGAACCACACTGGCCAACATAGAACTAAACATACTAGATCCCACATAGAAAATACTACATAACAAAGAATATACACACCCTGACTCAACATATACGAGTCCCCTGAGTCAGGGCGGTAAGCCTTAAGATGGGGGTGATGACCAACAGTGCACAGCACACAATATGTGTTCTTCTAGATTGTAGTTCAATGAATCAATGAGTCATTGAATCAAATGTATTTGTATTTTTTTACAGTTGTTGTGAAGTACAGTAACCTGCCTAGACCCCCAAAGACCAAGCAGCAGCACAGTGGCAATCCATACATGCTCAATTTTTGCATGTAGGCCTTCTTGCGCAACAGAAAATGTATTGTGTTGCTTGCCTTATTTAACTGTAAGTTGCCATAACACTTTATTGAAGAGTATTTGTGTGTCATCCATGAATGCTATGAAAAAAATCATATTATGGAAAATGTATACATTCACTGAATAATTGGAAGCAGTCCACTTGTCCCCTCTTGAATTTCTTACCTATCCTTCTCGTAATCTCTTACATTGTCAGGTTTGGTCATAGGCTACCTCCTCATACTTTTTTCCCCCTTACCAGCTCGTCTTTGTAAAGGGAGGGGACAGGCTCTTTGTTGGTGCTTAGCCTCGCCTGCATTAGTATCTAAGAAGCCTTTGTTGTGTTCCGAGCTGGCCAAATGAGTCTGGACAACCTCTAAACAAAACTGTCACATTCCATTTAGGTTCCTTCAGTGGTGCCGGGATTTGGCAGGGAGGCTGAAGCATCTTCCACGTGGATCTTCGCTCCCATTTAGGCCCTGTTGTTGTAAGCCAGACAGAGAGTGGGCATGCTGCCAGCTGAACTCTGCATGTCATCTAGGCATATGTTTACATATTGTAGTGAGCTTGCTGTGGTTATGCTCAGTTTATGATCTGCAGTTACCTTGAATTGGTGTGCCAAAACCTCAGATTCAGCCACACCTAAATGGAATTAATATGTTGCAGTCTAAGACAATAACAAAACGATGCTATTGTGAACTGCCTACAAAGCTTCCAGTATGGAAGATGATAGGGCACTTACTGTAGTAGTAGACTGCGGGGTGAACTTGAGGCCATCATTGATTAGAAAAATGTGGAGTATGTTTATCAAGTCACATCAATAGACAATAAACTGTATATTTAGACAGCAGAACGAGTGGGACAAAGGTCATTTCCCTTTTAATGTATTGTCCCATCTTTCAAAATTAAGGGATAGTATTTACTATTACATGGGACCTATGGTAGGATACCCATAGGGAATGAGTCTGCCTAAAGGATTCAGCATTCTTGAGTTCGGCATACTCCCTTAAAAGACCTTTGCTTGAAAAAAGAGAAAAAAGAGGCAATAGTACTGTTTGTCCATTTTGAGACGCCATAGCCAGTATACATGTCCTCAAAATAGTCACAATTAATCTAAGATAACTTAAGAAATCTGTCATACATTTTTACGTTTTTGCCAAGGAGATCTTAGTTGCGCAATTTTACATCTAACTAAGATGTAGGTAGATCATGGCTCTTGCAACACTAGGGTTGTAGGTTTGATTCCCACGTGGGAACAGTACAAAAAAGTACAACAAATGTATGCACTCATTAACACTACTGTAAGTCGCTCTGGATAAGAGCGTCTGCTAAATGACTAAATCTCTCATTGAATGACGACAAATACTTTATTGAAGAATCCCTACTGTTGACCAGTCACCGACGAAGGGGCATAGACTTCGTTCGGCTCCCGAACTTCAGCTGGCCTTGAGAAAAAAATGTGTGTGCTCATACAGCCGACAAATCCCTTACCAAAGTCCAAAAACAACAAAAACATCACCAAATGTCATCATAATATATGCACAAACTGTTTTGTCTGGGAAGTGGACGCCTTAAGTGTAGCCTACTCTATTGATTTTATGCTGTGCTAACTATGCTGCTAGGAGACAGTGGACATGAAATGCAATGTACTTTATGGTTTCAGTCCTAATTACATCCTGTGTCCAAGTACTTTTAACTTCTTTTTTCTATACAAAACCTCTCTCTTACACGCACACAAAACATCCTGCACACACACTATCACCCACAGAGCAGACTGAAGCAGGATTTTACAGTAGTCTAGTTCTGAATTGCTCTTTAGAGACTTTTTTCAGTCTCAGCACATACGTTAGGAATACACTAACCGTAGTGACACCTCACAATCTCTAGTTTCATCACGATTGTCTTGTTTTGTGTGAGATTGCATTGCGAACAGTGGCTAGACCAGAGAAATTGCTGCAGTGCTGCAGTGAGAGAAATCATTACACAAGTTGTGTTTCTCAGAGCTGTGGCTTTGGGGACCTCTAGTGGTCATCTCTCTCAAGTTATCTGGCTTTTCTTATAATACTTTCCTTTTTCCTTTTCACCTTTAGAATAAAGGAAGGAATCTTCTCAATGAACATACTTAAAACCATGTTAATAAAGGGAAAGGAATTCAAAATGTGATTTTGCCATCCTATAAAGGTCAGATTTCGATAGTCATAATGGTATAGTCAGTTTTGCTTGGGCATATTTGTCTAATGTGACTCTTTCCAACGCATGAACCATCTTGACTGTTTTCTGTTGCATTTGTCATTTGTGACGTGTGTGTTTGTCTCAGGTCCTATCAGCAGTATCCTGGTTAATAAGTATGGGAGTCGTCCAGTCATGATGTGTGGAGGATTCCTGTCTGGCTGTGGACTGATTGCTGCCTCCTTCTGCAACTCAGTGGAAGGACTGTACTTCTGTGTAGGAGTGGTTGGAGGTCAGTGATCTAAAGTAACTAAGTAAAAATACTTTGAAGTACTTCTCTACTATTTATATTTTTGACAACTTTTACTTTTACTCCACTACATTTCTAAAGACAATATGTACTTTTTACTCCCATACATTTTCCCACACCCAAAAATACTCCTTACATTTTGAATACTCAGGCAGGACAGCAATATGGTCCACTTATCAATATAACGCGTTGTCATCCCTACTGCCTCTGATCTGGCGGACTCACTAAACCTAAATACTCTGTTTGTAAATGATGTCTGAGTGTTGGAGTGTGCCCCTGGCTGTCCGTAAAAAAATAAAAAAACAAGAACATTGTGCCGTCTAGTTTGCATAATATAAGGATCTTGATGTATAGTATTTCCTTTTAAGTTTTATGTTTATGACAATTGAGTACTGTTTCCACCACTGTAAGAGGTAGGCCTCTTTCATTCATGATCACAATTAGTTGTGGCTGTTAAGGACCTTTATCGCACTCTAGGGAACTCTTTAGGAACATTATCACCACTCTATTATCCTGTATCTAGACTAAAGCAAATGGGAATTCACTATATATAAGTCTTATTTTTTAAACTGTTTTAATGTATTTCAACAGGTTTGGGACTGGCCTTCAATCTGAACCCAGCCCTTACTATGATTGGGAAGTACTTCTACCATAAGCGGCCCATCGCCAATGGAATTGCCATGGCAGGCAGCCCGGTGTTCCTGTCCACCCTGGCACCTCTCAACAGCTGGTTCTTTGACCAGTTTGGCTGGAGGGGCAGCTTCCTGATCCTGGGAGGCCTGCTGTTCAACTGCTGCGTGGCTGGCTCTCTCATGAGACCCATTGGACCAAAACCACAGCCTTCCTTGAAAAGTGAAGACGCTGCCAAAGAGAGTATGACGTGTGGGCAGAAGTGCAACAGTTTTATCGACCTCTCGCTGTTCAAACACCGGGGCTTTGTGCTCTACCTCATGGGTAACGTCATCATGTTCTTTGGCCTCTTTTCCCCACTGGTGTTCCTTAGTAACTTCGCCAAGAGCAGGGACATCCCCAAAGAGAAGGCAGCCTTCCTGCTGTCAGTCCTGGCCTTTGTGGACATGGTGGCCCGGCCCTCCATGGGCATTGTGGCCAATACCAAGTGGATACGACCGAGGGTGCAGTACTTCTTTGCCTGCTCTGTGCTGTTGAATGGTGTGTGCCACGTCCTGGCCCCCATCTCCGTGGACTACACAGGCTTCGTTATCTACGCCATCTTCTTTGGCTTTGCCTTCGGCTGGCTGAGTGCAGTGCTGTTTGAGACGCTCATGGACCTGGTGGGAACCCAGCGCTTCTCCAGTGCAGTGGGACTGGTCACCATCGTGGAGTGTGGGCCTGTCTTGCTAGGACCCCCTTTGCTAGGTGAGTATGTGCACACGTACATGTATTTGTAGTTTACTTACAGTGGGGAAAAAAAGTATTTAGTCAGCCACCAATTGTGCAAGTTCTCCCACTTAAAAAGATGAGAGAGGCCTGTAATTTTCATCATAGGTACACGTCAACTATGACAGACAAATTGAGATTTTTTTTCTCCAGAAAATCACATTGTAGTATTTTTAATGAATTGATTTGCAAATTATGGTGGAAAATAAGTATTTGGTCACCTAGAAACAAGCAAGATTTCTGGCTCTCACAGACCTGTAACTTCTTCTTTAAGAGGCTCCTCTGTCCTCCACTCATTACCTGTATTAATGGCACCTGTTTGAACTTGTTATCAGTATAAAAGACACCTGTCCACAACCTCAAACAGTCACACTCCAAACTCCACTATGGCCAAGACCAAAGAGCTGTCAAAGGACACCAGAAACAAAATTGTAGACCTGCACCAGGCTGGGAAGACTGAATCTGCAATAGGTAAGCAGCTTGGTTTGAAGAAATCAACTGTGGGAGCAATTATTAGGAAATGGAAGACATACAAGACCACTGATAATCTCCCTCGATCTGGGGCTCCACGCAAGATCTCACCCCGTGGGGTCAAAATGATCACAAGAACGGTGAGCAAAAATCCCAGAACCACACGGGGGGACCTAGTGAATGACCTGCAGAGAGCTGGGACCAAAGTAACAAAGCCTACCATCAGTAACACACTACGCCGCCAGGGACTCAAATCCTGCAGTGCCAGACGTGTCCCCCTGCTTAAGCCAGTACATGTCCAGGCCCGTCTGAAGTTTGATAGAGTTCATTTGGATGATCCAGAAGAGGATTGGGAGAATGTCATATGGTCAGATGAAACCAAAATAGAACTTTTTGGTAAAAACTCAACTCGTCGTATTTGGAGGACAAAGAATGCTGAGTTGCATCCAAAGAACACCATACCTACTGTGAAGCATGGGGGTGGAAACATCATGCTTTGGGGCTGTTTTTCTGCAAAGGGACCAGGACGACTGATCCGTGTAAAGGAAAGAATGAATGGGGCCATGTATCGTGAGATTTTGAGTGAAAACCTCCTTCCATCAGCAAGGGCATTGAAGATGAAACGTGGCTGGGTCTTTCAGCATGACAATGATCCCAAACACACCGCCCGGGCAACGAAGGAGTGGCTACGTAAGAAGCATTTCAAGGTCCTGGAGTGGCCTAGCCAGTCTCCAGATCTCAACCCCATAGAAAATATTTGGAGGGAGTTGAAAGTCTGTGTTGCCCAGCAACAGCCCCAAAACATCACTGCTCTAGAGGAGATCTGCATGGAGGAATGGGCCAAAATACCAGCAACAGTGTGTGAAAACTTTGTGAAGACATACAGAAAACATTTGACCTGTGTCATTGCCAACAAAGGGTATATAACAAACTATTGAGAAACTTTTGTTATTGACCAAATACTTATTTTCCACCACAATTTGCAAATAAAATCATTAAAAATCCTACAATGTGATTTTCTGGATTTATCTTTCTTATTTTGTCTGTCATAGTTGATGTGTACCTATGATGAAAATTACAGGCATCTCTCATCTTTTTAAGTGGGAGAACTTGCACAATTCGTGGCTGACTAAATACTTTTTTCCCCCACTGTATGCGCCTTGTTTCTATATAAAGACGTGCAATCATCTAACTGGTTTATTTTTATGAAAAGTAAAGACTATTAACTTATGATACAATTTAGAATTAATATTTTGTTTTGCCACAGGTAAATTCAAAGACATCTACAATGACTACCAATACACCTATCAGAGCTGTGGGGTGATCCTTATCATTGCCAGTGTGTTCCTGTTTGTTGGGATGGGTATCAACTACCGGTTGTTGCACAAAGAGAAAAAGGAGGAGGAAAGGAAGGCTAAACTGGAGGAAAAAGAAGAAGAGTCCAGCCAGGACAATGCTGCAAAAGAAGCCAGCAACGAAGGGTTGAGAGCAGTTGATGAGGCAAAAACTGCAGAAGACACAGTCTAACTGTGATTACCATGTGAAAGTGTGAAATTGACAGTCAATTAGATAATGTGGACATCAAATTCATCAGTGTTCATGTAAAGATATTTCTCAGCCCCATTGCCACTTCTGTCATTGAATAGTGTATTATTAGCATATGACTGGAGCAAGATACACTTATGTATGATATAAGCATGCAATCTCTACTGAAATGTACTGCCGCCCTGCAAAAATATACTCTATTTTATCAATCTGGAGTCCAGATAGTCAATTTTCTGCGTATGTGTTGTGATATATTTTAGAATATTATTATATGCAGGTCATTTGTTCGTACTGTATTTGGAATTTCAGATAAAACACTTTAAATAACTGCAATGTATTATTCTGTGAAAAACTTAATGGGTATAGTACTCTTAGACGCTTTAATTAATCCATATAACATTTTGTTCAAGCTGTCATGTCCGCTTTCCTTTCTCTCTGAAAGCATTTCTAAACACCTGTTCTTAATGTAACACTGTCAGTGTGTTACATGAATAATCAGGCATAGTCTCTTGATATGACATATATTCACAATGTTATTCAGAACAACTTCACAACAATTACTCCTGTCTTAACGAATGATTTCTACACTTCATGACCAAAGGTATGTGGACACCTGCTCGTCGAACATCTCATTCCAAAATCATGTGCATTAATATGGTGTTCGTCCCCCCTTTGCTGCTATAACAGCCTCCACTCTTCTGGGAAGGCTTTGCACTAGATGTTGGAACATTGCTGCGGGGACTTGCTTCCATTCAGCCACAAGAGCATTAGTGAGGTCGAGCACTGATGTTGGGTGATTAGGCCTGGCTCGCAGACGGCGTTCCAATTCATCCCAAAGGTGTTCGATGGGGTTGAGGTCAGGGCTCTGTGCATGCCAGTCAAGTTCTCCACACCAATCTCTACAAAACATTTCTGTATGGACCTCACTTTGTGCACTGGGGTATTGTCATGTTGAAACAGAAAAGGGCCTTCCGCAAACTGTAGCCACAAATTTGGAAACACAGAATCGTCTAGAATGTCATTGTATGCTGTAGCGTTAAGATTTCCCTTCACTGGAACTAAGGAGCCTAGCCCGAACCATGAAAAACAGCCCCAGACCATTATACCTCCTCCACCAATTTTTGCAGTTGGCACTATGCATTGGGGCATGTAGCGTTCTCCTGGCATCCGCCAAACCCAGATTTGTCCGTCGGACTGCCAGATGGAGAAGCGTGATTCGTCACTCCAGAGTACGCGTTTCCACTGCTCCAGAGTCAAATGGCGGCAATTTACACCACTCCATCCGAAGCTTGGCATTGCCCATGGTGATCTTAGGCTTCTGTGCGGCTGCTCGGCCATGGAACCCCATTTCATGAAGCTCCCTTGACGAACACGGTAGTGAGTGTTGCAACCGAGGACAGACGATTTTTAGGGCCATTCTACTGACAATATTTGTCTATGGAGATTGCATGGCTGTGTGCTCGATTTTATACACCTGTCAGCAACGGGTGTGGCTGAAATAGCAGAATCCACTAATTTGAAGGGGTGTTCACATACTTTTGTGTATATATAGTGTATATTCAAGAGGTAACTGATTGGGGGTGCTGTGTTGAAGCCATCGTGCCTCCATTTTGGCACTCCCCCACCATTGTAAAAAATATTTTGGAAGCTATAGAAATGCATTTATTAATGTCTACATTCGTTTTTGTCACCTTAATGCATACTTTAAAATTATATTTGTGAGCTATACATACAAATACTTAAATACATGTAATTTTGTCCTTGAAACATTGAATTGAAACACTGTAGAATTCCATTCATTCCTATGGAGGACTGCTCCTACAGTGGAGTGCCAATATAGGCTCACTATGGCCAATACATAGCATTTTCAATCCAGGGTTTATTACATAATAGTCTGTCCACTAGGTGGCAGTATTTACTATTACATTAATTACTCTTAAAGGCTCTACAGTGTACATGGACAATCTGCAGTCTGCATTGGCCGGGCAGCATTTACAGTGATAAGGACTCTGCAGAAGTCAGGGCATTCATACTTCTTGCGCTTCGCCGAGCAGCGCAGAGCTGTTGAGCAGAGCTGGTGTGAAGGAAGTTGTCAAGGAACTTTTTGTTTATACAGGACCGCCCACCTCCAACTACCGTCAACCAATCATGTCTATGCAGAGCCCTCCGTATTGTTACCTCTGCATGCCTCTGGAGGCTCCACTATTGCGTCACACCCTCCATACGGAGTCTTGGACCAGATTGCATATAAAGCATAAATTGGTTCTTAAACTCGGTTCTTAAGGTTTATCCTTATCCTGGAAGAAATTGCACGCTATATTGCAAAATGACACAGTATATCACTTTTGCTGATATATTTTAACTTATTTTTCAAGTAATTTAAAAAACCTTCCCGACATAACCACCTTGAGGTTGCACTGATGTACTGCAGAAATCAAAAATTGAAAGGCATTATTTGCAGACAAAGACACACTTTCAATCATGTGTTTCATACATGGATGATGACCATGATGTGAATGGTTTTGGTTTTGTAACACTTTAATGAATGTCTTCCTTTTCTTCTTTTTTTTATAAAACATATATGGGATATTGTGTTCATATAGCAAGGAGATATACAGTATTATGCTATAATGAAAGACATATATATTCAAGAGGAAGGAAATGCAAAAACAAACAAATAAAACAACTGAACACAAGCTGTCATTTTATCTGGATCAGGTCTGTATTTATTTACTGCTGCCGAATTATAAAATATCCCCATATACAGCTATTGGACTGTAGACTGCAGATTGTCCATGTACACTGTAGAGCCTTTAAGAGTTATTAATGTAATAGTAAATACTGCCACCTAGTGGAGAGACAATTATGTATAAACCCTTGGATTGAAAATGCTATGTATTGGCCATTGTGAGCCTTTATTGGCACTCCCCTGTAGGAGCAGTCCTCCATAGGAATGAATGGAATTCTACAGTGTTTCAATTCAATGTTTCAAGGACAAAATTACATGTATTTAAGTATTTGTATGTATAGCTCACAAATATAATTTTATAGTATGCATTAAGGTGACAAAAACGAATGTAGACATTAATAAATGCATTTCTATAGCTTCCAAAATATTTTTTACAATGGAGGGGGAGTGCCAAAATGGAGGCACGATGGCTTCAACACAGCACCCCCAATCAGTCATCTCTTGAATATACACTATATATACAAAAGTATGTGAACACACACACCTTCAAATTAGTGGATTCTGCTATTTCAGCCACACCCGTTGCTGACAGGTGTATAAAATCGAGCACAAAGCCATGCAATCTCTACAGACAATAGAATGGCCCATACTGAAGAGCTCAGTGACATTCAGCGTGGTACCGTCCTAGGATGCCGCCTTTCCAACAAGACAGTTTGTCAAATTTCTGCCCTGCTAGAGCTTCCCCGGTCTACTGTAAGTGCTGTTATTGTGAAGTGGAAACGAGTCAGCCGTGAAGTGGTAGGCCATACAAGCTCACAGAATGGGACCTCAGTTGCAACACTCTCTACCGAGTCGAAACTGCCTCTGGAAGCAATGTCAGCACAAGAACTGCTCGTCAGGAGCTTCATGAAATGGGTTTCCATGGCCGAGCAGCTGCATACAAGCCTAAGCTCGCCATGCGCAATGCCAAGTGTCGGCTGGAGTGGTGTAAAGCTCGCCGCCATTGGACTCTGGAGCAGTGGAAACACGTTCTCTGAGTGATGTATCACGCTTCACGATCTGGCAGTCCAACGGACAAATCCGGGTTTGGCGGATGCCAGGAGAACGCTACCTGTCCCAATGCATAGTGCCAACTGTAAAGTTTGGTGGAGGAGAAACAATGGTCTGGGGTTGTTTTTCATGGTTTGGGCTCCAGTGAAGGCACATCTTAACGCTACAGCATACAATTACATTCTAGACAATTCTGTGCTTCTAACTTTGTGGCAACAGTTTTGTCACGCTGAAACTTTCCTGTTTCAGCGTGACAATACCCCTGTGCACAAAGCGAGATCAATACAGAAATGGTTTGTCGAGATCGGTGTGGAAGAACTTGACTGGCCTGCACAGAGCCCTGACCTCAACCGCATCGAAGACCTTTGGGATGAATTAGAACGCCGACTGCAAGCCAGGCCTAATCGCCCAACATCAGTGCTCGACCTCACTAATGCTCTTGTGGTTGAATGGAAGCAAGTCCCCACATCAATGTTCCAACATCTAGTGAAAAGCCTTCCCAAAAGAGTGGAGGCTGTTATAGCAGCAAATGGGGGACGAACACCATATTAATGCACATGATTTTGGAATGAGATGTTCGACGAGCAGGTGTCCACATACCTTTGGTCATGAAGTGTAGAAATCATTAGTTAAGACAGGAGTAATTGTTGTGAAGTTGTACTGAATAACATTGTGAATATATGTCATATCAAGAGACTATGCCTGATTGTTCATGTTACACCCTAAACAAAAAAAGATCTGCCGCTGCAGCTACAATGTTTCCAGCTGAATGTAGCTAACAGCACAGCATATAAGCAAGAATTGCATGGAACTATCACATCAATATTTTAGAAATGTTACAATTTCGTTTAGGATGGAATAACATTTAGAAGTTGTTTGTGGTTTAGGTTTTTAAAGTGACGAAATCATTGCATTTAGCTCGCTCATTGGAAAAAAAAATATTTCCTGTCTGCTTGTTGCGCTCTCAGCTCAGCCATTGATTTTCAATTCAAAAACCTTTTTCTGTCTGTCTTCAACTCCAGGGAGCTAGCAACTAGCTAACATTAGCTAACATTAGCTAGCTAATATTTCACAATACGATATTAATTATTTGGCTAACTAGCAAAATATTTTGTTTTTTGTACATGTGACCAGTCTCCAACCCCAGCCTAGCAGACATTATTAGCTAGCTAACCTACCAAAATTTCAGTTTGCATACAAATGTTTTCTGGACTAAGAAAATAGCTATAGCCAAAAGCCCTTG